CAGTATAGGTTCTCCTATGTCCTGAGTCTTCACTGACCTTGAAAGGCTATGGTCAAAATGTTGGCTGTCCTTGCAGCCCTTCTATTTCTCTAATTTCTGGTCTGTAAACTTAGGTTGTTAACCCTCCAGAAGAGAAGCTTATTATTACCCTACATCTTAAGCACTTGGGTTTAAATTCATTATCTGTCTGAATATCAAACATCTTAGGCATAACATGGAACAGGTATTTTCCATCAAATATTGTTATGTTAAACATTAAGTTCCTCAGAATATGGAGATAAAAATTTTAAAATGAAACAATTTCACATTTTTACACAGAAACTTAGAAATCTAACCATAGACAGCATTGTGGCAGGATAGCCCTGAGACATTTTTTTTTTTTTGCAGAACCGGGGATTGAACTTAGGCCCTTGTACTTGCCAGGGAAGCGCTTATTCTACTGAGCCATGTCCCCAGCTCCCATTTTTTTTTTCTTTTTCTTGTGTCTTTTTTTCATTTATTACCCATTAAAAAAAAAAACAAAAAAACAAAACTTACTTGTGAGACAGTGTGGTAATAATTGTTATGTTATCACAACAAAACTTTTTATCCACTGCAGTGACATACATCTATAATCTCAATGACTCGGGAGGCTGAGGCAGGGGGGTGGGAAGTGTGAGGTCAGACTCCATCTCAAAATCAGATTTAAAAATATGCCAGCCTTGGTGGTGTACAGTTGTAATCTCAGCTACTCAGGTGGCTGAGGCAGATGGATTACAAGTTCAAGTCCAGCCATAGCAGCTTAGAGACCTTGTCTCAAAATAAAAAGGGTGGGGGATGTAGCTGAGTGTGAAGACCCTTGTTCAGTGCATGGTACTGAATGAATGGATGGACGGGTGGGTGGGAGGGAGGATGGGTGATGGGTAGGTGGGTGGATGGGCGGGGATGGGGTTTAGTGCTTCTGTCGGCCTAGGGTTTGATTCCCAGTACATTTGTGCCTTGGTTCACAAACTTAATTTGTTTTACAATTTTGGAAAATCATGCTTATTATCTGATGCAGGCTCTCTAAACAGAAACCAAATTTTGCCAAATGCTTCTGTTGGCAAACCAAACTGTTTGCCAACAAAAGCACTTGTGAGCCAAGGTACCACTGTTCTGGGGGAGGAGGAAACCTCTCATGGCAGGATTTATGGGCATGAAAAATGTCTAAGGTAGGATTTGGCAAACTGGCCTGTGAGCCAACTGCATATGATACAGATAAATTTTATTGAACTGCTGAGTCCTGGGACAAGGCCACATGGCTCATAAAGCTGACATTGTATATTGTCTTACCCTTAACAGAAGTTAGCCAAATGCTGGCCCAAGGTCAGGAAGTAATGAATTTGCCCACACCACTGTATGTTTCATTTAAAGTGGCCAAAAGGGGCCAGCAAGATAGCTCAGTGGTGTAAAGCGCCTGCTCATACAAGCTTAGGCAGGTGTAAGGGACTGCGTTTCAATCTCTGGCACCACATGCCACGCCAGCCCCGCTCTTAGGGCGGGCTGAGCTAGCCAAAAAATAAAGTGGCCAAAGGTGTTTGAAGACAGGAATTACATTATTACTGTTTTAAGTGGACAAGTTGATTTTTGTTTTCTGTTATTGTGGATGGAATTCTGGGATACTACAACCCCTGGCTGGCCTTGAACTTGCCTCCACCTCTCAGAGTGCTAGGATTTTGAGATGTGCAGAAAAGCAACTTGGCTGAAGAGTCAGATTTCATGTAATATCTCTTTTCTTTTAAATGTATTTAGTACAGGGTCTACAGGGTCTCACTACACAGATC